GGGTGCTGGGCAGTTTGATTTCATAGAAACACGTGCACAGTGTCAAAGAAACTCCGAGGGTCTTCCGTTGATAATCCAGGTCCAGGGGTCACACAAGTGAACAGGAGGCCATCAGAAGTGAAATCTTCTCAGAGAAGGAAAAATCTGAAATGGGCTCTGGAAATTACAACCATTTAATGAGCTACCTTGTGCCTGATGCTTAAAATAGAGACAAACAAGACAAGGCCACCAGCCTCAAGGAGCTCACTGCCAAAAGAGGGAAACTAGACCCGTGCACTAACAGCCCTGCAGAGCAGAGGTTACAACCCGACTGCTTTGAGATACATTGTATTGGCCCGGCATATTATTTTTAATTTTATATGTCAATTAAAGCCGTGTTCTTTTAAAATCTGAAAGTTTAAAATAAAAAATTGAGATTATTAATATTTTACTCGGTTTGGGTGCCTCAACAAAATATCATAGACTGGGTGGCTTAAACATTTATTCCTTGACAGTTCTGGAAACTGAAAGTCTGAGTTCAGGTTGTCTTCATGGTCACGTTCTGGTGAGGGGCCTCTTCCTGGCTTGCAGATGGCTGCCTGCTCACCATGTGTTCATGGCCTTTTCCTTGGGGGAGGGCGTGTGTGTGTGTGTGTGTGTGTGTAGACTTCTTGGTGTCTGATGAAGGCACTAATCCCATCATGAAGGTCTTACCCTCATGACTTCATTTACTCCTAATTACCTTCCAAAGGCCCCATTTTTAAGTACCGTCACACTGGGAGTAAGAGCTTCAACCTGAGGGGGACACAAGTCCATCTATAGCAAGTGGATTATCAGGAGATCCCAAAACACAGCCCACAATCCAGAAATGAAGGACACTCATTCATTGATTCATGCAACAAATATTTGTTGAGCTAACAGTATGTTCCAGTGGTCCTCCCACCATGGTAGGAACTGGGGATAGAGCAGAGAGCAAAAGATAAGCCAACCACCACCCAGCAGTGTCCCTTCCACATCTTTAAACATAATGCTGAGGCACATGGTTCAATAACTGGCTGGCATCTGACATTAACTGGAGGGCCTTATAGGTCATGAAATGCCAGAAACTTCACACTTGAAATGTGAACTAGTGCCCCAGATTTTTTTTTTAACTCAAACAGATAAAGGAAAAATTAAGGACAGAATTAAATGAAACACTTGCTTAAGTAAAAAAATGGATTGAATAAACCATATGGGCTGACTGAAAATGTTGGATACTAGTGGCAATATGTATACACACACACAAACATACACACACACTTTTCAGCCACTATTCCTTCTCTCTACCGCATTATAAAACCAAATGGGCTACATGGTAGCACTTCTCATTGTGTCATTATGTTTGTAACTGATAAATGAAAGGAAAGGCATGTGCTTGATGAACCAGGTTCCCTCGGAGGAGGTCACTGGTGAAATCACACAAGCTATAATGAAATTGCTGGGAGCTATGATAAAGGAAAAGTTGACAGTGAATCCAGAGTCAGGGGCCTGGTTCCAAGCCAGCCTGTACTCTGTCTGCCAGCTTAATTCTTGGGCACCTCTTGGTGACTTCATCTGCAAACAGACAATATAGTACCTACTTCATGAGGGTTTTATAAAGGTTAGGTGGGGCAATCATGCAGAAGTACCTGGCACACATCATCCAGCAAGTGTGGTCTGAATTCCCTATGGGAAGAATGTTGACGAAGGATACAAGAAGGCAGAGAAGATAGGTCACTCATATTTTCAGATGACCCAAAAGCATCGAGTGCACAGTGAGCTCAAAGCAGATGACAAAATTGAGATTTTGAAATATTTCATGGCTGAAAAACCATGATGTCACTAAATCAGGACAAACTACACTCTTTTAAAAACTAAGTCTGATTAGGCACAATGGGTGAAATGTGGATTTATATCACTTATTTCTAGAAGGCCTGATAGTTTTCCCCATCTGCCAAATCAATGAGAGTGATCAGGAGGACACGGAAATGAAAATAGGTCATGCACTCTTAGGCCTTATAATTATTACAACTATCAACGGAGAACTGTATCATTCACAAAGCATTTTCGTATGTATCACCATATATAATTAGCATATACTGCAGTGAGAGAAATAATGGCTCCCCTGAGCTCTGCCTGAGTCTGGGAACTCTTGGAGTATCGTGTTTACTTCTGGTCACGGCATTTAAAAAGGAACTTGAGGCCGGGCGCGGTGGCTCAAGCCTGTATTCCCAGCACTTTGGGAGGCCGAGGCGGGTGGATCACGAGGTCAAGAGATCGAGACCATCCTGGTCAACATGGTGAAACCCCGTCTCTACCAAAAATACAAAACATTAGCTGGGCATGGTGGCACGTGCCTGTAATCCCAGCTACTCAGGAGGCTGGGGCAGGAGAATTGCCTGAACCCAGGAGGCGGAGGTTGCAGTGAGCCGAGATCGTGCCATTGCACTCCAGCCTGGGTAACAAGAGCGAAATTCTGTCCCAAAAAAAAAAAAAAGAAGAAGAAGAAGGAACTTGAGATCCAAAGAAAGCTTGCCATGGTATAATTCCCAAAAGATTTTGAAGTCAGATATACCTAGATGCAAGCCCATCTTGGCACTGACACCCGTAAGTTATATGACATTAGACAAACTTATTAACCTCTCTGAACCTGCTTCCTCAGCTGTCAGGCAGAAATGACAATACCTAGTCCACCATGCCCAGCTAATTTTTTTTGTATTTTTAGTAGAGACGGGGTTTCACCATGTTGACCAGGATGGTCTCGATCTCTTGACCTCGTGATCCACCCGCCTCAGCCTCCCAAAGTGCCGGGATTATTGAATATCTTTTTTTATTCAATCACTCTGGATGCCTTCTCCTATTATTTTTTTCAAGTAAGTGTTGAACAATATGGTGGCTTACATTCAGAGAACTTCTTGCTCCACTGCCTTTCTACACTTTCATCTGAGCTTTTTCTTTTTCCTTTTTTCTTTTTTTTTTTTTTTTTTTAATCTCTTATGACTGGACTGAACTGGCTTCTGTTTCCAGCAGTTCTTCCCTGTGGGGCTTTGTTCTGGAAGGGAACTTTGGCTCTCTAGTTTTGAGAGGCATAGGACCCAGACTGTTCCAGTTCCTGCAGGTCTTATTACAAAATCCTTTGTGTTTACACACCACTGGAGTATGCAAAAAGGTCTCTTGATTTTGGATGCTAAGAGATGAAAAAATTGAGGTAAAATATCTTGGTGATTTGAGGTTCTCACGTCCATCAGACACCCTGTCGTTTTTCTTTGCTTCCTCTTACACAGATGGATGGTGGTACCATAGAGATCTTACGGCTCTTGGACTGGGAGGGAACAGAAACACAGAAAATGCTGGTGGGATGGAGGCACTGTCCAGAAAGACTCCTCCAAATAGGGATGATGTAGCAAATTGGCAAGGTGAACATAAATTTGGATGTCTTCATTCATTTATTCATCCATTTATCTAATAAACATCAGTAGAACCTATTAAATTTCAGACACTGTTGAGACACTGAGGACATAGAGATGAATAAAAGACAGGTCCTCCCCTGGAGAAACTCACAACCCAGGAGCAAGAATAGACATATCTGGAAATAATGACAGCCCTTAAATAAGGGCTGCATCCAAATATATACAAGTTTATGTGTAAGCAAAGAAGGGTGGTCACAGTGACCTGACTTATGGATAAGCGGTGAGGGGTGGAGAGTGGGGGCCGCCAGGCGGATACCAGGGGAAGTCTCACAAGGCAGAGGGTCGTGGAGAGCAAAAGCAAGAGAGACAGTTACAGACAGAGAGAGAAAGAGAGAGAGAGAGAAATGCAACAAGAACCAGCCCATTGCCTCACCTGGCTCAGGAGTTGGGTTCCCAGGGAGAGGAAGATAAGGAGAGAGGAAGTCTGACTCAGAGTCAGAGGACTGTGAATGTCCATCTATGAGGTTTGGGAGCCCTTGGAGGGTGTTGGCAGGAGAGAACATGATCAGTCAAATCTGAAAAAGGAGACACAGAATGGGGTGGCAGGGGAGGAGGACACAAGGTGTTGAGCCAAGATGGATGGTGAGGACAGGAGAGACCTGACAGGGGAGGAAGAGCAGTCTCAGAAGGATCTGGGGCTTCTTCAGTGTTTGAAATGAGGCCAGGTGCTGATGATGTTGTACAAAGCCTGTCCAGGAGACAAGGTTCTGGCTACATCACTGTGGGCCACCAGCAGGTAGTTGGGAGTCAGGTACCCCTTGACCACAGCACACTGGATCAGGTCTTGGGCTGCCTCGAGTGCTACAGCATTTGGTGGTGTACCTGCAAAACACGGCAGCCCATCGCTCACAGATTACAGGGAACCCTGCAAGGTAGAACATATTCCCAGAACCCATTCTCGTCACCAAGCTAGTATATCCCACTGTTGGCAGCCTCCCTAGGGACAGATAAAAGAACAAGGTCAAGACTTAAAATCTCTCAGTGCCAAAGTTTTCCTGAATCAAAAGAGCCAAGCCTGGGATAATGTATTCTTCTGGGGATGTATAAAGCTTTTATCCACTGCGAAAGTTTAGCCAGATAGTTGTCTATAAGGGTGCGATTTAGCATTCCAGGGGACATTTGGCAATGTCATGAAACATTTTTCATTGTGAAAACTAGGAGGCAGGGGAATGCTAGTTGGTAAAAGCCAGGGATACAGCTAAACATTCTAGGACAGGACAGCCCCACAACAATTAATTATTGTTATTAATTATTATTATTAATTATAACATCTGAGTCAAAATGTTAATTGTACTGAGGTTGAGAAACATGATTTAATCACACATGTGCTGCCTGTTCCCTTTACATGTCCAGCTCCAGCTCAATGCTCAGCCCAATATCAAGTCACAGCCCTGGTTCACCCCATCCTCTGACCCAATGCCCATTTTAGTATGGGTCATGTCACTGAATCGGCCCCAGTGCCATGGCCTCATGTTTTCAGAGGTTCAGTGAAAGGCCCTCGAGTCTAAACAAACTGATTAAGAGCTTTGAGTTGCTCTCCCTTTGGCAGGACATACATTAAAATCGTAATGATACAGTAATTAGCGTGGCCCCTGAAGTAGGATGACATGTAAACTTGGGAAGCATTCCATATTTTTAAGGAGAAATAAAGTGTTTCCTAAACAAGCAAATGCTAAGGGAATTTGGCACCACTAGGCCGGTTCTATAAGAAATGCTTTAAAAAGTTCTACACGTGGAAACTTAAGGGCAATACACACTATCATAAAAACATATGGAAGTATAAAACTCACAGGACTTATAAAGCAATGACTCGATCGAAACTGCAAAGCAGCTGGGTAACCATTAACATTAGGACAGGAATAAAGCCTCACATATCAATATTAACCTTAAACATCAACGGGCTAAATGCTTTACTTAAAAAATATGGGCTAACTAAATGAATAAAAACAAAATCCAACCATATGCTGTTTACAAGAAACCCCTTAACCAGTAAAAACATTTACAGGCTCAAAATCAAGGAGTGGAGAAAGATATTCCATGCAAATGGAAACCAAAAAGGAGCAGGAGTTGCTACACTATATCAAGTAAAACAGACTTTAAGTCAAAGCAGTTAAAGAAAAAAGATAGGGAAGTTCATTATGCAATGCTAAAAGGACAAATTCGATAAGAAGATATAACAATCCTAAATATATATGCATCCAACACCAGAGCACCCACATTCATAAAACAAATACTGCTAGACCCAAGAAAAGAGATGAATAGCAATACAATAGTAGTGGGGAGCTTCAACACCCCACTGACAGCACTAATAGATCAGCAAGGCAGAAAATCAACAAAGAAACTCTAGACTTAAATCGGACTCTAGACAAAATAGACCTAGCAGACATTTACAGAACTTTCTACCCAACAATGGCAGAATATATATTCATCTCTTCTGCACACAGAACATTATCAAAAATAGACCATATTTCTTTTTTCTTCTTTTTCTTGAGATGGAGTCTTGCCCTGTTGCCCAGGCTGGAGTGCAGTGGCACAATCTCGGCTCACTGCAACCTCTGCCTCCCAGGTTCAAGTGATTCTACTGCCTCAGCCTCCCGAGTAGCTGGTACTATAGGCACACACCACCAAAACTAGCTAATTTTTTTGTATTTTTAGTAGAGACGCGGTTTCACCACGTTGGCCAGAATGGTCTTGAACTCTTAAACTCATGATCTGCCTGCCTTGGCCTCCCAAAGTGCTGGGATTACAGGTGTGAGCCACTGTTCGTGGACCTTACATTTTTTTTTAATTAAAATCGTATCAAGTATCTTGTTGGGCCACAGTGGAAGAAAACTAGAAATCAATATCAAGTGGAACTCTCAAAACTATACAAATACATGGAAATTAAACAACCTGGTCCTGAATGCTCATTGGGTCAATGATAAAATTAAGGCCAAAATTAAGATTTTTTTTAATGAAATGAAAATAGAGACACAACATACCAAAACCTCTGGGATACAACAACAAAAAAAAAACAGTGATAAGATGGAATGTTATAGCATCAAATGCCTCTATCAGAAAGATAGAAAAGTCTCAAATTAACAACGTAACATCATACCTCAAAAAAATAGAAAAGCAAGCACTAAAAAAACCCATAGCTAACAGAAGAAATAACAAAGATCACAGCAGAGCTAAATGGTATTCAGACCAAATATTTAAAATGAAAAGGATCAATGAAATAAAAAATTGGTTATTTGAAAAAATAAACAGAACTCACAGTCCACCAGCTACATTAACTAAGAAAAAAAGACATAAATTTAGAATACCCACAATCAGAAATGATAATGGTAGCATTACAGTTGATACCACAGAAATAACAAAAGATTGTCAGAGATTACTATGAGCTCTCTACGCACACAAACTAAAAAACCTAAAAAAACACATAAATTCCTGGAAACATACAACGTACCATGATTGAACCAGGAAGAAATAGAAATCATAAATAGACCAATAACAAATAACTGAATCAGTAATTTAAAAAAGAACCTCCCAACAACAAAAAGCCCAGGACCAGATGGATTCACAGCCCAATTCTATGAGATGTAAAAGGAAGAATGCCAATCCTACTAAAATTGTTCCCAAAAATTGAGGAGGATGGAATCCTCCCTAACTGATCTACAAAGCCACACTGATATCAAAGCCAGGTAAGGACACAACAACAACAACAAAAACTACAGGATAATATCCCTGATGAACATAGATGTAAAAATTCACAACAAAAAACTGGCAAACTAAATCCAACAGCACATCAAAAAGTTAATTCACACAATCAAGTGGGCTTTATTCCTGGGAAGCAGAGATGGTTCAACATAAGCAAATAAGTAAATGTGACTCACCACATAAACAGAATTAAAGCGAAAACTATGTAATAGTTTCAATGCAGAAAAAGCATTCAATTAAATCCAACATGACTTCATGATTTTTTTTAAAAACCCTCAACAAACTAGGCATCAAAAGAACATACCTCAGAGTAATAAAGCCATATATGACAAAATCACAACCAACATCACACTGAATGGGGAAAAGTTAAAAACATCCCCCTTAAGAACTGGAAAAAGGCAAGGATGCCCACTGTCACCACTCCTATTCAACATAGTGTTGAATAAAACAATCAGGCAAGAGAGATAAATAAAAGGCACCCCAACTGGTAAAAAGGAAGTCAAATCATCTCTGTTCATTGATGATACAATCTTATGCATAGAAAACCCTCAAAATTCTTCTAAAAGACTCCAGGATTTAATAAACGACTTCAGTAAAGTTTCAGGATACAAAATCAACATTAAAAAAATCAGTAGCATTTTTTTTTAATTGCATTTTAGGTTTGGGGGTACATGTGAAGAACATGCAAGATTGTTGCATAGGTACACTCATGGCAGTGTGGTTTGTTGCCTTCCTTCCCCTCACCTGTATCTGTCATTTCTCCCCATGCTATCTCTTCCCACCTCCCCACCTCCCCGTCCCTCCCCCATTTCCCCGCTACGGACCCCAGCGTGTAGTGCTCCCCTCCCTGTGTCCATGTGCTCTCATTGTTCAACACCCGCCTATGAGTGAGAACAATGCGGTGTTTGATTTTCTGCTCTTGTGTCAGTTTGCTGAGAATGATGGTTTCCAGGTTCATCCATGTCCCTACGAAGGACGCAAACTCATCGTTTTTGATGGCTGCTTAAATTCCATGGTGTATATGTACCACATTTTCCCTATCCAGTCTATCATCGACGGGCATTTGGGTTGGTTCCAGGTCTTTGCTATTGTAAACAGTGCTGCAATGAACATTCGTGTGCATGTGTCCTTATAGTAGAATGAAAAATCAGTAGCATTTCTATACACCAATAACAATCGAGCTAAGAACAAAATCAAGAACTCAATCCCATATACAATAGCTATAAATAGATATAGATATGTACACCTATAGATATACACACCCATATATTTTTTATATATATAGTATATGGCATATATATATATATATATATATGACATACTAGAGTTTGTTCTAAATAATGATCTACTATGTAAGCATCTGTAATGAAATTGGAGAGTTCAGCTCGTCAAAAAACAATAGCCTCATTCTAACCTTTCTCTCATCTTCCTTTTTGTCTCTTGTTCCTTCTTTTTACTCTTCCCTCTCTCTTTCTCTGAATCTGTTTTCTTTGGTTGGTTTATGCTACCTGCGACCCTTCTCACTATCCTAGGCCTACTGTGGGACTTTTTCCCGCTAGAACTCCCCGCCATGCCTCCCAGAGGCTTCCTTTCCTGATTTATGATACCATCAGGGAGACTTGACCACCCTACTGCTCTCTTTGGTCCTTTTGCCAGAATCTGTCCACTGTATTCTGTAACATACACACTGCATGCTACTTCTTATTCTCCATGTGCAATCAAATGAGATAGAGGAGAAATTATATACATATACACACCTATATATAACCTATATATATATATATGTTAAATGTGTTCCTAAAAATATATGTGTGTGTGTGTGTATATATATACACACACACATATACACACCTATATATAACCTATACTAGGAAATATATACATATAGGTTATATATATATCTATATATAGGAGATAAATATATATAGGTTATATATAGGTGTGTATATGTGTGTGTGTATATATATACACATATATATTTTTAGGAATACATTGAACCTATATGTTAAATACATTTAACCTATATGTGGGATATATATATATGTATATATATATATCCCACATATAGGTTATATATAGGGGTGTATACGTGTGTGTGTATGTGTGTGTGTGGATATAGATATAGATAAAGATATATAGATATATTTTAGGAATACATTTAACCAAGGAGGTGAAAGAGTTTTATAAGAAGAACTAAAAAACACTGATGAAAAGAAATTGTAGATGATACAAACAAATGAAAAGACATCCCATGCTCATGGATTTGAAGGATCCATGTCATTAAAATGACCATACTGCCCAAAGCAATCTACAGATTTAACACAATCCTTGTCAAATTACCAACATCATTTTTCACAGAATTTTTAAAAACTATTATATAATTCATATAGAACTAAGAATGAACCCAAATAGCCAAAGCAATTCTAAGTGAAAAGAATAGAGCTGGAGGTATTATATTACCTGACTTCAAATTATACTACAAGACTATAGTAACCAAATTAGCATGGTACTGGTATAAAAACAGACACATAGATGAATGGAACAGAATAGAGAACCCAGAAATAAAGTCATATAGCTACAATCAACTGATCTTTGATGAAGCTGACAAATATATACACCAGGCAAAGTATACCTTAATGAATAAATGGTGCTGAGAAAATTGGATAATCACATGCTGAAGGATGAAACTAGACCCACATATCTCACTGTAGGCAAACATTAACTCAAGATGGAGTAAAGACTTAAATATAAGATCTCAAACTATAAAAATCTTAGAAGACAATCTAGGAAAAAACTCTTCTGTAAATTGCCCTAGGCAAAGGATTTATGACTAAGTCCTCAAAAGCAAATGCAACAAAAACAAAAATAGACAAATGGGACTTAATTAAACTAAAATGTTTCTGCGCAGCAAAAGAAATAATCAACAGAGTAAACAGCCTACAGAATGGAAGAAAATGTTTGCAAACTATGCATCTGACAAAGAGCTTATATCCAGAATCTACAAGGAACTCAAACAACTTAAGGAAAAAAATCAGCTCATTAGAAAGTGAGCAAAGGACATGAACAGACGTTTTTCAAAAGAAGAAATAAATACTAGCAGTCAAAAACCATGAAAAAATGCTCAACATTACCAATCATAAGAGAAATGCAGATTAAAATCACAGTGAGATGCTATCTTACTTCAGTCAGTTTGACTATTATTAAAATGTCAAAAAATAACAGAGGATGCAGAGAAAAGAGAATGCTTCCACACTACTGATGAGAATGTAAATTAGTACAACCTCTATGGAGATTTACCAAAGAACTAAAAATAAAATAGCCATTTGATCCAGCAATCCAAATACTGAGTGTCTCCCCAAAGAAAATGAAATTATTATATCAAAAAGACATTTGCACTCATATGTTTATCTCAACACTATTCACAATAACAAAAACATGAAATCAACCTCAATATCCATCAATGGATGACTGAATAAAGAAAATGGGGGGGTGGGGTGATTGCGTGTGTGTGTGTGTGTGTGTGTGTGTGTGTGTGTGTGTATACACATTGTGGAATATTATTCAGTCACTAGAAATGAAATCATGGCTAGGCATGGTGGCTTATAGCTGTAATTCAGCATTTGGGGAGGCTAAGGCAGGTAGATCACAAGGTCAGGAGTTTAAGTCCAGCCTGGCCAACATAGTGAAACCCCGTCTCTACTAATACAAAATAATACCAAACCCCGTCTCTACAAATACAAAAATTAGCCATGTATGGTCGCACACCCTGCAGTCCCAGCTACTTGGGAGGCTGAGGCAGTAGAATGGCTTGAACCCAGGAGGTGGAGGTTGCAGTGAGCTGAAACCACACCATTGCCTGGGCAACAGAGCAAGACTCCATCTCAAACAATTTAAAAAATGAAATCATGTCTTTTACAGCAATATGAGTGAAAATAGAGGCCATTACCCTCAGTGAAATGACTCAGAAACAGACAATGAAAAACTACACGTTCTCAATTATAAGTGAAAGGTAAACAATGGGTACACATTGGTACACAGAGTACAATAATAGACATCAGAGACTTCAAAACGTGGAAGAGTGAGAGCAGGATTAGGGACAAGACATCATTTAATGGGTACCACGTACATTATTTAGGTGATGGGTATACTGAAAGCCCAGACTTCACCACTATATAATATATCCATGTAATACAATGCATTTGTAGCCCCTAAATCTGTCAAAATGAAAAATAAAAATAAAAAGTAAAATAGAGCTCTGACTCGTGACAGTTCTCAAGGCAAAGGCTGGGGCTTATTGTGGTTTTGGCATATAAGGCAAAGTGTCTCTACATTGTTGTCATGGTAACCAAGAGAGGCTGCATCTGCTGACCAAGATGAGCTAAGAATATGCACAAAGATCTTTTCCCCTTACTTGGCATGTTCCTTACGTATTGGAAGAAAGAGATATTTGGCTGGATGTAAAGGAGGTAAATTTGAGTATTATGTCTGGGGGTCACCTTTGATCACACTCAGCTGAGTCAAATGTTGGACTGGAAGCTGGGTCAATCAAGCATATGCAGGCACTAAAATGACACTTGAGACTGAGACTTTGTCTTCCATGTCAGGTGCTCTCTTTCAAATACCATGCAATGACCCTACTGCCCAAAGCATCCACTTACCTGTGAATGTGCCCATGAAGGTAATGCCCAGGGCGATGTCATCATAGCCAGGGGTGGAGAAGCCTTGGACATTCCAGCCCACCCCTTCATAAATGGCACCATCCTGGCCCACAAGGAAGCTAGAGGACCACAAGGGGAGATGGAGACCAGCATTAAACTCTGGAATTGTTTCTCTCTTTCATGTTTTCATTCATTCATGTCTTTACTCCTTCGGATTTTGATAATCTATTGGATTCTAAGCACTGGGTTACAGAAACAAGCCAGAGTCCTTGTCAGTGGAGTGTTGGTAAACTAACTCAGAGGGAATGAGGGAGACAGGGTGAGGAGAGAGAATCCCAATTTACAGCATTTGCTGATTTCTGTGGTGTAAACCTTTCACTATAGCAAATTTCAGGTGACCAACAATTTAACAACCACCTCTCAAAATTCCAGGGTCTCTAACCATCAGCTCTCATGAACCGGCACAAGCCTGTTCGGCTCCAGCATACCGCCGCCGCCCCCAAATCGCTCACAGCCAATAAGGAAAGAGGAGAATGACATCTTTCAATCCCTAGGCCTTTTCTCCTCCTCACTAAGAAAACGGTTTCCCCCAGGGCGACCCAGGATTTCCATACCATCAAGTACAACGTTAACTTCCCCAATCTTTCCTGACTTGATCTCTGTACATTTGACTCCGCCACCCCCCTTGACTTCTCCGAACATTCTCTTCCCGTAGCTTCCATCACACCGCCTTCTCTCGCCTTTCTTCTCCAGCTGCTCTCCCTCCACACCTCATCTTCCTGCACCCTTTCCTTAGATGTGGGGTTCCTCAAGTTGCTATCCTAAGCCCTTTTCTCCCATTACTCAACACAGGACTAACCCATCCACTTCCTTGGCTTCAGTTGCCATTCATGAAAGTCTGCATGTTCACCACGGGACCCATCTTCTTCCTCACCTGTTCCCCTTTCTGGGATCCCCATCTTGGTGAAAAACATGGTCACCCACCCACCCACCGGCCCCAGCCAGGAATATAGGCATCAGCCCACCCACTTCATCCACTCATTCACTCAGCTTGTCCACAATGTCTGCCATCTACACTCCCTGATCTGCCCTGCACCCTGGCCATTAACCATGAACCTCCACTGATCTCTCAAATTCCTCCACCTCTCTCTGTGGCCTCTACTACCACCATAGGGATGTCACCACTCCATCTCGCCTGGATTGCCGCACAGTCCTCAGGTCTCACTGCCTCTAGTTCTACCTTTCCCGTCCAATCCATTTCTAAAGGATAGCCAGACTGGTCTTTCTAAAATACAGAACTTACTATGCCAAACCCTGTTTTTAGTCCCTGAGCACTGAGTACACACCCCCCAGCTTAAGTTACAGGATCCTTCAGACACGGACCCTGTCTGCCTCGCCGGCCTCAGCTCTCCCACACCCCTCTTGGGCATCTACATTTATCCTGATGAACTCTCGGCTCCCCAAAGGCACCTTTTTCAGGCTGGAATTCAGTCCTTTCCACAGAGGTCCTTTCCCTCTTCCTGAATCCCTCTTCCTGCTTCTTCCTCCCACTCACCCGTGAGGCCCCAGCTAATCTGGAGCCCCCACAGGGAGTGCTTCCTTCACTCCCGTTTCCTGGCATCCTCAGCCTCCTGTCTACTCTCCATGTGTCCCCTATCACGTTTAAGCTACCCTGCTGGAACGTATTTGTTTGAATTTAAAACACTGGTTCCACGCAGGCAAGAACCACATCTGAGGCATCTGATGGCGTCCCCAGAGCATAGCTGTGAGCCACACAGAGTACACATTCAGTCACATGTTCAGCGAATTATCATCTGTGAGGCAGGGATTGTGTCGCCCTGACTGCAGACCACCTCAAGGAAAAAAAGTGACACCGTCATCATGCTATCAGAGAAGAGGAAACAATAAAAGGTCCAAGTCAGGGGACAGGCAACTACCCTCTGAGATGTGAAAGGACCTCCCCTCAGCCTCCACCTCTTTCCAGTTTTGGCTTTCCAAAATTACAGTCAATTTTCAGGTATCTACTCTCATGAAAGACAGCAACGCTGCAAATAATCCTGTATGGCAGGACCTAGCAAAGCACTTGAAGGTTCTGATACATCATAGATGTTGGAGGAAAAGTTTTCATCTCTCTTGTAAAGGGGGCTACTAAAATGAGGACAGAGAGGGGAGAGACACTCAGCCCAGAATGATGCACCAAGCGATGGTAAATTCGTCTAAGACGGGACCACTGCGCACTGCTGTGCAGACTGCATCTGCACAAAGGTGTCTGAAATTCAGCTCCACTCACTAAGCCATAAACGCCCCCAGAGTTAGGGGCTCCTTCTGTTAATGTGTATGAATATGCCAGATGGGCTAGAGTCGCTTTTCCTGAGACTTAAAATTTAGTGTGACTGCTCCTGATGGGACATTATATGGGGTCTAACCCCAGATGTCTTATCTGCAAGCTCTGAAAACATCCTTCAAGAAACTTCTACGTGTTTTGTGTGTTTGTGTGACAGTTTTTAAAATCAGTACTTTTTAATGGAAGCATCTTGATCAAAAATGTGTCTTTTTGATCAAAAACGTGTCAGAATTTTGACACCCTTCAAAATAATTCTTAATGAGGAAAAAAGTGAAATGTTTACTCTTCCACTTAGGTCAGTGTGTTTCTTATTAAAGAATCACAGACCCTGTAGACCCAGCTACTTGGAAGGCTGAGGCAGGAGAATCGCCTAAATCCAGGAGGCGGAGTTTGCAGTGAGCTGAAATCATACCACTGAACTCCAGCCTGGGTGACAGAGAAAGACTCCATCTCAAAAAAAAAAAAAAAAGAATCACAGACCTTAGCATTAGAGAAATCAAAAGATAGTATCTGGTCTCTCCCCTGCCTTCAGACAGGAAGTATATTCTTCCCAAGGAGGTTGGTGGTTTCTAGAGGCAGAGAAGCAATATGAGTCTAACATGAGAGGGAACCACTCCAGGCTGTGGCCACAGTGAGCAGCAGAGCCCCAGCCTCTGAGCAGTAGGCGGTGGTTACACAAACAAAGCACATCTTTTGATTATCTTTTCTGCAGGTGCCACCATCTTGCATGCATACTGCTTCCTCCAGCGACTTTTTTAGCATCCATCATGCCAGTTTGCTACCTTTAATGGGTCCACATCTTGAGAACATGTTTGGGCAAATGACTACCCCGTGGCTGTCTCCTAAGAAAGACCCTTGCAGGGTCGTGTGATGAATCCATTTGGTTAGCCATACAGTGCCTCTCCTGAGTACCCAGCAAATATTAGTTCCCTTTACCCTTCCTTTCAGAGGTTCAGTATCTGCCCCCAAGGGAAGAGAAGCTCACGGTACCCAGAGCCACTTACTTATACCCAATGTCGCATGACTTGAGCCTGTCTATGTAGAAAGACTGGATGTCCTGGACCAGCAGGCGGCACTCTTCAGAAATGTTGCAGGTCCTGTCGGCAGTGTGGATAATGATGCCATACTTCGCTGGGAGGGTCATCCTGGGACAGTGGGTCTCCCTGGCCCCCCATGCAGACCGTGGGACGATACTGGGGCAAGCTGAGATGAGGCAAGAAACCACAGAGGGTTCATCTCCCCCATCCATGCCAGCCGCTTCCCCACCGTAGGCTGACACAATGCTCAGGACCCTCAACGTCCCAAACCCCCTCTGGGTCCCCCACCCTGACCCCAACAGTGGGACTTGAGAGCAGATGGTGTCCCACAATGGGACATGGACATTTTATTCTAAGAATATGTCTTCGAGTCATTTGCAATCCACGAAACTCTCTGTCAATGCAGGTGATCATTTATATTGACAGATGGCACCAGAGATCACATTTGCTCAAGGCTTTAACATAATAGAGATGAAATTTCTTTCACTCTTGATTATCAAGTCCAAGAAAAGGCTAAAAGTGCTTATTAAATTTACTGTGTTTGATATTGCTGCTTGTTAAACCCAAAATAGTATCTACTTTTTATATCTGAATGATACTAAACTCTTTCTTTAAAGTCAGTGTAAGTGGTAGTCTAAGTGTTCTGCAGCACTTCAATCCATTCGTGTTGCTCTGGTTTTTGTATTCAGAAATGTATGTTAGTGTGTGTGTGCTCAAGTGTAAACATATGAATGTATAAATATGTGTGTAATTGTATCCAGTCCCTTTCCATTTTTTCCTCTCTTGCACTTTTCTCCATGTTACATACCAAATATGTTATTTATTTGCTCATTGCCTTTCTCTGGCCTCTAGATTGAAACTTCATGAGGCCAGGGACCTTGCGTTTCTTTCCTTGGTGTATCCTCAGGGTCTAGCAGGTGCCCAGTAAATGCTTGTCAAGTGATGGAAGAAAGGAGTGTGCATATATTACATCAGGCATAATGCGATGGCTCTTTCGTATGAGCAATCTGGGGAATAAAGAGGTGGCCTGGAGGTTTCCTCTCAAGATTTGCCAGCCCCGAGACTTCAGAGAGTTGGGTGACCAGTTGCCTACCAGAAGGAATCGAATGAGCCCTGCTGAAAAGGTGGCTCCCAATGGTGGGAGTTAGTGGGGGTGAGCCCAGCGGGGGGCCAGTAGGTTTGAAGGTCTTACCTTTCTTCAGGATCTCCTTCTGTCGAGGGGCCAGGCAGTTCTCACCTTTCACAAGAAGTGGCTGAACGTACCTGGATGACAGGTGGCCCTTCTGGACAGCGTAGGAGATTAGGTTTTCCATGGCCGACAGGGCAGCAGGGCTGGGACTGTAGCCTGGAAGAGAGAAATCTGTGGGAAACCTGCACCTGGCCTGAGTTTCAGGGGATCTTTTGTGGGAGGAGGAGATGCCCTGCCAGCTCCTGCACAGCTGATAGAGAGGAAGAAAAGGGAACAGGTTACGCCCCCAGTTGAAGAGGCTGAGAATTAAGGATCTGCCTGGAAAGATCTCTCAGTGGCTCATGAATTCCTTTCCCAAATACCTGCCAAGGCTTCACGCCCTCTCTCCATGAAGGAGCTCAGCAGTAGCACCAAGTTCAACAGCACCCATCAGAAGGGGCCCCTCCATGGCCAGGGTTTCCTATCAGAAGGGGCCCCTCCAGGCATGTCCCAGGCTCTTTGCCTACAATTACTCATTTCGTCCTCAGCACAAACCTCTGAGAGATGCTATTTTTAGCTGCATTATTCACGAAGAGGAACCTGAGGCTCCAAGAAGTAACATGCTCAAGATCCCAAGCTAACAACAAATGGAAATGAGTAGTCATGAAAACAAAAGCAAAAACAAGATAAACACAGAGTCCTCTGGGGAAACCACCCAGGGCTGGAGATAGAAGATACAGACCATGTTCTCATTCCTCTCCTTTTAGCTGTGTCACTTGGGGTCACTGAAGTCTCTGAATCCCAGGCTGCACCGCTGTACAACAGGGGTCATGAAATCTACCCGGACTATCTCAAAGGATACTGGGAGAGGAAAATGAGAAACTAGGTATGCAAGATCTCAGTTAACAGGAAAGGGTGCACAGATTGAACGAAATGGTCCTGGAGCACATATGTTAGGATGAATACGGCAAGGGGCCTTGGAGCAATAGTCCGGAAAGAAATGGAAGAGAGTTAGGGGACTCGGATTTTTTTTTTTTTTTAAGAAATATATAGAAAATCTAGGAGTAAGAGATGGAAGGAGGAGGTGCCTGGCAGGAAATTGGAAAGCACGTCCCAGAGCCACAGAATGGTCAGAGCTCTAGAGGAAGATGTGATAGTCATTGATGTAGAGGTGAGGGATGAAGCCCAGACAAGCTTGCAGAGAGACAACTGGTTGGCATCGCCACTGAAGAGATGGCTAGAGGAAGACACGCCTGTTTACAGGGGTTGAGAAGGAAGCCAGGGCAGTAGGAGGAGATGCTTCAAAATGTTGTTTCCTGCAAATCAAAGAAGAGAATTCCAAGAGAGAGTGCATCCTCAGAGAAGGATGAGAAGGATGAGAAGACAGCAGAGTAGCAGACAGCTACTTCCCATGAAGTGGGCCCTGAGGCAAAGGATTAGAGAACTCTTTGGAGAAGGTCAGCTGAGATACCCGTTACCTTTCTTAGTGCCGAAGAAGGCAAAGCCCAGGGAGATGTTGTTGTAGCCCTGGGTGTGCACACCTTGGATGTTCCAGCCAACACCTTCATACACCCTGCCATCATCCCCAACCAGGAAGCTATGGAGCAAGATAACACAGGTTACGTGGCTGGCCCTGTAGGACATTCCTGAGAGAGGACACCACTTACCCAGCCCCAAAACGGAAAAGAGCCGAAGCCATGTTCACTAAAAGGAATTTGCACGGACTCTTCCCAGACATAGGAAAGAATAAGTCATTTCTACTAGTCCTTAGAATTCAGAAGGACCCACTCTCACACTCCCTACTTCCTTCCCTTTTCAGAGGCTGCAGTTTTACCATAAATCGTTCTACATGCTCAGGAGAAGAGGTCCTAGAGGCTCCACAGTAACTAACATTGACCGGACCACACAGTGGAAGGGCTCTTCTGTCTTCCACACTTCCTTAAACATGGCTCTCCCACCTCCTCCAAATGTGTGCTGCCTGTCTGATCCCTGCAGAGCTGTTTCATTTCATTTCTCCCTGTTAAGTAGGGAGTTATAGGACGGATACTACATAGACTTCCCAAGAAGTAGCTCCTGAGACTAGGATGAGGATGCTGGCAATTTATTTGCAAAGGGATCTGACAGAGCAGGGGCACTGCCATCTCAGACAAACACCACCACTTTAAGTTCCGGCTCCCTTTCTAGCCTCATGCATTTCAAGGAAATCACTTCTAACAACAGGCAGCCTGAAAGAGCAGAAGTAAGACACAGATAAGACAGCTCGGGCACAGAGGGAGGTGGAGGGAAAGTCGCCTGGGTAACCGCCAAACTTCACCCTCATACAATGGGCCTTAGTGAAACAGTGGGCCTTAATAAGCACATTCCTTTCCCTTCAGGTGTGCTAAGTTAAGGAAGCTGAAAGCAGACTCAGGGAATATGCCTGCAGCTGCAGAAAGATGTGTGGGAACAGACAGATAACTCTCCCTCCCAGACAAGCACAACAAAGACACACAGAAACAATCCCAGCCTCTGATAAACTCTCCCAGAGAGTGGGCTCTGACCTAACTTGGCCAGAAGCCTCTCTGAGGTTGGTTTTCTCTAAAACAAACTTGTCTTTGACTGTCAAGCCACCTTTCATGTTTCTTTCCTCTTTCTTTAATTCTTACACGATCCCAGAAGCCAGAGTGAGGAGCCAGGAGACTGAGACAGAAGGAAGAAACCCAGCAAAGCCTGTGAAATTGGACTGGCTCACAGTAGCCACCTGAGGCTCCACCCCACCCCCATGGCCTTCCCAGGCGCTGTGTACATGCACTTTAGAACAGCCCCTCAGAATGGCTGAGGTGGAGGAGGCTACACCCCAAGCCCTGTCCCCCAGGAAGGCATTCCCTCCCTTTTGTCATCAGGGGCTGGGGAAATGCCTGAAGCAGGAAAGCAGAGAGAGGCACCGGGCACTTGAAGCAGGAAGCCATCACCACACTCAGGAACTGTCCACAGCTAGCCAAAGTCAGAGGTGGGTCAACGGCATGTGGTGTGGGCACCAGTAGGACCTACTAGAGTGATCATTACAGTGCCAGATGGACAGTTGCCTCCCTGAGGCTGGAGCCCATGCATGTGGTGTGGAGAAGCACACCAGGGATGAAGAGAGCCAATTCAGGCTCCATGAGTCCACAGCTATGTGATCTGAGTTAATCAGCCTCCCTCCCTTTGGCCCCTCTCTCAGAGCAAAGAGATGGTGACAGCTGCCTACCAGCTGGGGGAGCAAAAGCCCTCATGTACGAGGAAGTCTTTTGTAATCTGTGATGTGCTGTACAAGCCAGGATTGGAGGAGGGTAGAGAATACAGTTATTACTTAACCTTCCTCGCTTCCTCCTGGGAGCTCTCAGAGACAGGAATGTCGCAGAAAGTTCCAAAGGAGTTGGAGTTTCATGGGGCTCTTAAATATTTTATTCATTATAAAACATACAAGACCGGCCGGGCGCGGTGGCTCAAGCCTGTAATCCCAGCACTTTGGGAAGCCGAGGCGGGTGGATCACGAGGTCAAGAGATCGAGACCATCCTGGTCAACATGGTGAAACTCCGTCTTTACTAAAAATACAAAAAATTAGCTGGGCATGGTGACGCGTGCCTGTAATCCCAGCTACTCTGGAGGCTGAGGCAGGAGAATTGCCTGAACCCAGGAAGCGGAGGTTGCGGTGAGCCGAGATCGCACCATTGCACTCCAGCCTGGGTAACAAGAGCGAAACTCCATCTCAAAAAAAAAAAAAAAAAAACATACAAGACCACAACCCAGAAAATGAGGAAAACGGGATAATAAGGGACAGGAGAAGCATCCCAGGGAAGCAGCATTGACCATGTGCCTTGGGACCCACGTCCAGCCTCTTACTTGTAAGCCACGTCGCACCCGCTGTTATTGTGGACGTGATGGGCCTGCAGTTCCCGCAGTCTCTGGCTGCAGACTCTCTGGTCGTGACACTCCAGTCCAGGGACGTGGTGTATAACTAGGACATTCACTGGTGTGGTCAGCTGAGTACTGCAGCCAACAGCTTCTGCCCCCCATGCCTTGCGAGAGACCGTGGTAGAGGCATCTGTGGGGAAGCCATGGGGCATCACTCAGTGCACCTGCCCCAACACTGCCTCATTAGCCGGCCAAGCTGCACGTGCAGGCATCGGCTGTGTCGGCCCCATGGTAGTGGAAGAGCTGGAGGAGGAAGCCTTCAGCAGGTGGGTGCACCCTGCTCTGCCCACCTCTGCATCCTCATCTCTCCAACACTCACCCCCAACACAGACTCTGCACCTGGCCAGGGAGCCTAATGCTTTGCTTCCCCATCCCAGAACATCCCCCACTCAACTCCTCCCCTGTGGTGGTCCAGGCCCTGCACTTCAGGAAGCATCACCTGCTTATCCCTGGGGAAAGCCCTGAGCAGCCTGGCTTGGTGTCACCTGAGCACTCAGTGTGTGCTCTCTGGGCTCTGAGTGCTCCCTGGGAGGACTGCATCTTCTCCTCCAAGCAGGGGCGGTGTCTCCCACTCAGTCTAAGGACTCCCTGAGGGCCAGGTTTGGGTCTCCCTCCACAGGGGGTCCCTGTCTGCAGAGGCTGTTTCCCCGATTCCTGGGTTTCTAGCCCTCCAGTGCCACCCTTCCATCCCAAGGACCTAGGACAATTCGCGCAGATGGTTTACGGGTTCTGCTCTCTGCACCTCCGCCCCGTTTGCCCCTCCCAGTCGCACGGGGCTCTGCAGACCTCAGAAACATTTCCAGTCACATGAAAAACCCCAGCTGGTCCCCAAACCCCCTTACCGCCCAGATTCAGTTTACCTTTTTCAGTGAGCTGGGAGATGTTGCCAAATAGGGACTGAAGCCCCTCTGATAGCTGTTCAGCTTGTGTTTTGTTCCAGAAGGAATCCCCTACAAAGGAATCGCCCATTTTACATCAGAGAGCTCCAATACCAGCCATCATGGTGGCACCTACGCTGGACAGAAACAGCCATCCCCTCTCCACTGCCCCTCTGCCTCCTCAAATCCAAGAGCCGCCTCTAAGAAATGCCTCGGGGCTGACCAGAGGACCTCCTCTAACAGCAGCCAGTGCATAGTTTCCTCCCACACCAACTCGGCAATTCCCTGGGACGGGCAGCGAGTCAGAAATGTTATCCTTTTCTCGTGAGCTGTGTCTACACACACAATTGACAAAAAAACAACCTGGCAATGTATTCAGACACTTCAAAACCACGAAGTCCTCTCCTGTGTGCATTTTACCAAAGCAATGGGGAAGCGTATGTGGAGAAAGGGTTAGAATTACCTGCATGGCTCAGACCAGTTCCCCCAGGATTGATTCTGGGGCCATGTGCTATGCCCACTCTCCTGTGTGAAGGCCCATGGGGGAGGGGCAGGGTCTGTTGATTGACACCTTTGCCCAAAAGGAGCTTTCTCTTACTGACAAGCACGAACCCAAGCCGTAGGTTGGACTCTGATTGACATCATGATAATACAAATATAATCCCTGCTCCTGTTTATTCACTTTTACTGCCCAATTGCTCTATTTTCAGGTGTATTATCTTGTTTAGCCCTCACAGTGAGTTTAGGAAATCATCACTATCTCAGTTTCCAGGTGGGAAAATAAAGGCTTGTAGAGCTGAATCGCTTGTTTAAAATCATTCCTAGAGGCAGAGGAAGAACCTGAATCCAGGTCTAGAGGCTCCATGTTCTTTGCTCTATGTACAATCTATTCTTTCTCCATAAGACAGTGTAGGTTGTATGTTTCTTGTTTGTTACTTTTTGGTTTTTGTTTTGTTTTTGTTTGTTTGTTTTGTTTTTGAGACAGAGTCTGGCTCTGTGGCCAGGCTGGAGGGTAGTGGCGCGATCTCAGCTCACTGCAACCTCCACCTCGCAGGTTCAAGCGATTCTCCTGCCTCAGCCTCCTGAGTGGTTGGGACCACAGGTGTGTGCCACCATGCCTAATTTTTGTATTTTTAGTACAGATGGGGTTTCACCACGTTAGCCAGGATGGTCTCGATCTCTTGACCTCGTGATCTGCCTGCCCTGGCCTCCCAAAGTGCTGGGATTACAGGCGGGAGCCACTGCATTGGAACAAGAGAGCAGATTTCTGTTTTGTTTTGTTTTGTTTTTTTTGGAGACAAGTTCTCAATCTGTTGCCCACTCTGGAGGGCAGTGGCGTGATCTCAGCTCACTGCAGCCTTGAACTCCTCAGACTCAGATGGAGAGTAGCTACTTTTTAAATTCTATTATGAGACTTTAGATGATCCTTCCCAGTTGCTCTTTGGTCCAGGGAAAGAAAACTTACCCCAGGCCTGGAGACCCAGAGCAGAGAGGACAAGAAGCCACAACATCATCCCCACGTGGTCCCAGGACACCAAGCCGGAGAGTGTGGACGGCGGCCTGAGAGAGAGACGCTGACAGGTGTTAACACCACCATGCTCAATCTGCAAAGCATCCCCCACCCTGTCTGCCTCCTCCACCATCCTGTGGCCTCCTGAGGGCCAGCACCTGGCTCAGGCTTCTCAGGGCCCCCGGCACAGAGCAGATGCTGAGCATCCCTGTCCTATTGTTACCCAGGCAACTCAACTTCCTCACGTGCCCACTGTGTGCAAGGCCTGGGTACACACTTGCACATGCAGTCTTACTTCATTAGTCCTCACACTGTAATGTAAGACTGTTAACCCCCATTTTTATAGACAAAGGAAGTACGATCCAAGAATAGTACAACCAAGTAATCCAGACTCATATGGAAGGGTCCGATGCAGAGAATTCCTTCTCTGTTGGGAATACGCCAGGTGAGGGGATACAGGAGCAGGAGGGGGTCCTAGTTCTAGGGCAGAGGAAATCCAGTCCTAACACTCTCTCTGGTGGATTCCAGGCCCCTTACTGGAAGAGGGCTTCTGAAGAGGAAACACACACTCAACTCACAGATACCTGTGGGTCCTGTGCTGTCCCAGCCCAGCAGGTCAGGGGGCAGTCGGCTCACTCCTGATTGGCCAGCAGCTCCTTCCCTTCCAGACTTGGCATCCAGGCCCTGCCCTCCTTCTCCAGCTGGTGCCTCCTCCGGCCTTCACTCTCCCTGGCCCTAAGGGCACTCCCTCCCTGGGAAAGGAACACTTGGGCTCTGACTTCTCAGAGAGAAGAGGAGAGCTCAGGAACCCTAACAAAAGACAGAAGAGAAGAGGCAGGCAGAGGGCTGAGGCTCCGTTTACGGCACCTGGAGAAACTAAACTGGGAACGCACTGAGAGCACCTGGGACCCGCCCTGTGAATAAGCCAGGCAGCTCCTCCCTGGGAAAGGGCAAGATTGCCCAACACTCCGGAGAGCTCATCCTCAGCCCCAACCTGGGAAAGCCTGAAGGGCCTGAGGGTTGTGTCTGCAACATCTAGAAACTTCCTGCCTGAGAAGATCTGGTCCAGGAGTCTGAAGACTGGATTGAAGTCACTCGCCAACACTCCCTTTTACCAGGGTCACCAGCAGGGTCAGGATGGACAGAGAGAAATTGAGAGGTACAATCTCAGGAAGCAGCTCACGATGCCTAATTCCACCTCGTAGCCAACATGTCTGTCCGTCATCCTCCCGCCTGCCACGCCCCACTGTCGGCATCAAGCTGCCACCCACCAGAGAAAGCCTCCCACGGACTGAGAAGCTCCTCGCCATGTTCAGTTGTCACTTAATCTCATTCCACAGGCTGCAACCTGGGCTTCCAGCCCTGAGTCTTCACAGAGGAAACTCCATGTGACACTTTTTTTTCCAAGAACATCACGGGGACCCGCAGAGCCTCTCATGTCCCGGGGGGTGGGGCAGCCTCCCTAGACACTGAGGAAGTGCCCTGAATCCCGGACAGTTGCTCTCAGTGAACTGCAGCCCCACTCTCAGCCCAGGCTCCCCAAGAGCACTCTCTGGGTGGGGCCCCTTGAGCGTGCGCCAGGTCTACCTGTCATTCAGCCGAGTCATGCACCCAGGCCCGGGCTGGAACTGTGTGATGAGCAGGGGCTGCTGAGCTCTGTCCTGGGTGGAGGGTGAACATGGGGCAGAGCCGGAAACAGAGGTGAAGGAAACCAAGAACCAGAGCCCGGGACCAGCACCGCAGGGACCCCGCCAGTTCCCCAGCCTGGCGGTGTGCCGTTTCTTTATGCCTCCAGCTGGCCGCCCGTCCTGACTGAGTAGAACGGCTCTCAAAATGAGAAGGTTTCTGGGCCTGGGTCTGGGGCACCAAGGACTTGAGAAGATTCGGTTCCCCTATTTTGAGGGGCTTGGGGATGGGAAGCCTAAGGAGAGATTGGGTGGTGGCTGCCTAAGGGGACCGCAGATTCTCTGTCCCATCCAGAGTCTTGAGGACTAACAGGCCGAGGGCGTTCTGGACAAGGGCATCAGGAGGGAGGAGGAGCAGTGTGGATTGTCCCTCCCTGGTTCTGTGAACTCCAAATCCCAAGAGGACCTCCCAGTCCTCAGTGATCTGGCCCCCAGCCCCATCTCACTCCACAGTACCGTGGCTGGCTCCCAGCGCCCTCTGCCTCAGCTCCCACCATCTCAGGACCTTCCCCAGTGCCCAGCCTCGCTCCCCACCTGCGCCCGGAGGCTCCACTTCAGCCTGGCATCTTCGGAAAGAGCTCCATGACTAGTCGGGGCTGGTAGAGCTTCAGAGTCTCTCTTCTCTGTTCTAGCACCCATGATGAATTGTAATATAATCTCCTCAAGATCGGTTCCCTAGTCTGTCTCTTTACCTGCCTTTAATAAGTGTCATTATTTATATTTAGATTTTTTTTTTTTTTGTCTTCTGTCTTAAACACGCCCCCCCCACCCCCCACCCCCCGGCTGTGAACTTCACAGAGGGGGAAATTATACTTTCTTCTGTAGTCTCGGGGCTTAGCGTAGTGTCTGGTATAGTGCTGACACATGTTAAAAACTGAATAAATATTTGCCAGAAGAAGGAAGGAAGGAAGGAGGGAGGGAGGGAGAGAGGGAGGGAGAGAGGGAGAGAGGCAGGGAGGGAAGAGAAAGAAAAGAAATGAGGGAAAGAAAGAAAGAGGAAGGAAGAAAGAAAGAAAAAAGAAAGAAAGAAAAGAAAAAAGATAGAAAGAAAGAAAGAGAAAAGACTTAAACAGGACACACTTTTAAAAGGTATCAAAAGATAAAACAAAAAGGAACCGCAGGCCGGCACACAGACCTGCTTCAAATAATGCATACCTTCGAGTATCTAAGCCAGTGGTTCTCAAAGAGTGGCCCAGGGAAAGCTGAGAGACCCCAAGACCCCTCGGGGGGTTCATGAGATCAAAACCAATTCCAGAACAATATTCCCTTAACTGCCCACCACAGGAAGCTGCCCGCAAACCAGGACTCCCGGCTCCTCACTTTCCTCGCTGTGCTGATATTTGCACTGATGACACAAAAACAATAGTAGGGAAAACTGCTGATGACGTGAACCCAGCTGTGGCGTCAGACGGTGTCAGCAGTCATCATATTCTTCACAGTGTATTCCTTCCAGAAAAGGAGGCTGACTTAAGAATGTTCTTGATGAAGCAGTGAGAATTACTTGTGTTATTAAATCTCAGCCTGATTCTCTCAAGGAATAGCATTTGTGTGCTCGAGTTGTGAGCTGAACCAACCGCTTTTTTCATGGAACACCACAAACAAATAACGTAAAACAAATGATAGCCAAAACTATGGATACTCATATATGGGTATGTGGCATACATTTTCTTGAAAATTAACAAAGCGAGCCTTTCACTTCTAAGAAAACAACTAGAATTTGTTAGCATAATAAAATTGGAGCTTTCGAGCAAAAATTCAAATTTTGGAAAATTTGTATCTGCCACCATGAGTTCGACAGCTTCCCAGTACTTGAAGACTTTACCGATGAGATCAGTGGTGGTATTAACAAATGTGGTTTATTTATATGTGTGTGTGTGATACATATAAATATGTATATATATTGAGTAATAAATGATGTCAGCATTTAGATGAAGTACATAACTCAGTTAACCAATGTTTTCCAGATGATCAATATGTGAAGTCACAAAGTCATGTTTGGACAAAAGATCCATTAAATTTTAAGACAGACCAATTGATTCCAATGTAACAGAGAACAACGAATTCACTGATACGGTCTCAGACTCCACATTGCAACTATCCTTTGAGAAAGCACCACATGTTGGGTTTTGATGTCATATCAAAGAAGAACATCCACAATTATATATTTAAAGGCTGTTAATGTATTTATCCCCTTTGCAACTACTTAGCTCTGGGAGACTGGATTTCTGCAAATCTTCAACCAAAGCAACATACAGCAACACCTTGTACGCGGAAGTAGATGTGAGAATCCAGCTGTCTTCTTTGAAGACATACAGCAAATAGGTCTTCAAAAATGTTTTTAAAAATAATAATAACACTCTTCTCACTAGCTTTTAAATATATATATAATTATTTTTAATTTTTAAAAGTGTGATAATATGTAATGTGTTTATTAATGGTACTTTGGGTGAGTTAATAAATAATCTTTAATTTTTTAAACTTTTAATGTAGCAAATGTTGATGCAGATAATCCACAAAAGCTCTTTGGGATACTCAAATAACTTCTATGAGTATATATAAAAGGTTCCAGAGAGCAGAAAGATTGAAAACCGGAGGCATCCCACAGCCTGTCCTTATGCACGTAGGCCACAAGGTGGCAGCATGCGCCCTCTGATAGCTCCGGAGCCAGCTTTCACTCACTAGGAATCTCTGAGCAACTTCTTTCTCCATCACTCCCCACCACTTCCTTTCTTACCTTCCTGCTTCTGTGTTGCACACCTTTTTTTCTTTTTAACCAACTAGCTTTATCCACCAACAGCTTCTTAATTACAGGAAACAGCAATCTCCTAAGCATAAGCTCTGGCCAAACCAAGCCAGGCATTCTTTTCAGTCTGCAAACATTTGCCGGGTGTCACTCATACGCAAAGCTTATCATCCAGGATGAGGAAATTGAGAACACGGCTCTGAAGTCGTTGATAATCTAGTGAGGGAGACAGATCCAAAGGCCAGTGATTATAAAGCCTGCTGAGTATGAAAACGCTTTATTCTTTACAAAGCGCTGTGGACTTCAAAGGGAGTCCTGAGAGCACAGGATGCCAACGGCCAGATGCTGAGATACTCACCAAGAACTCCTGCAGGGATCTGGAACCTAGGGACATAGTGAGGCCAACAGCCAGGTTCCCAAGAGGTCAGGGAGGAGAAGGGACTGAAACAACAGACGCCAGGGGACAGAGAAGGGAATGACAGCTTTCTCAATTTTGAAGGCGGCATGTCCGAGAAATTAGAAGGATGATGAGCAGAGGCAGCCAAGGTGAATACAGCGGGAAGGATTCCGCCTTGGGGAAGCTTAGGTTGAGGGTCTAAGAAGCCAGATCACCGGAGGGGCCTCACTGTGGATGCTGGAGCAGCCCCACATGGGGGCAGGAGTGGGGCTGCCGTCAGCGGGGGGCCTCAGAGACCTCAGGATGGCCAGTCAATGGAGGCTGTGAGGATGCCAGGGGTGGCCAAAGCTTGGTGTGGACTGAGTCCAAACGTGGTAGGACAATGTTCTGAAGCTACCGGTGGATAACTTCGCTAAGTCATCCGAATGCACTAGAATCTAGAATGGGCATTGGGGAAATGGGGGAAGTCAGGGGGCTTGTGGTTAGGAGACCCACATCCAGAGATCTCCACGGAAGAGTACCTGGGACTCCCAGCAAGGAGGAAGGGAGGGAGTGGAGGAGCAGGCAGCAGGCCGCACGCAGCCTGGGAGGGGCTGGGCCTCAGGCCTCAGAGTCCCGCTGAGGAGAGAGTGCCCAGGAGCCACGAGGCTCATGGTGGTCAGGGAGCCCACCAAGAGTCCATCAAAACGTGGAATCTATCGGCCGGGCATGGTGGCTCATGCCTGTAATCCCAGCAGTTTAGGAGGCCAAGGTGGGCGGATCACCAGGTCAGGAGATCAAGACCATCCTGGCTAACAGGGTGAAATCCCATCTCTTAAAAAAAAAAAAAAACTGGAATCTGTGCTAGAAATGAGCAAAGGGCCAGCTGTCCCAATCTCCTCATGTAATGGACAAGAAAATGGAGGCCCATACATGGAAAATGACTTCTAAAGAGCACCAGCAAGTCTGGGAAAGGTAGGACTGGAAACTCCGTCCCACCGTGTGCCTGCTGTAACACCCCCATTACAACACAGGAGGGGCAAGGCTCCCTGAGAGGCCACAGCAGGGTGGCGGGAGCTGCAGGAAAGGGAAAGACAGACCCACAGTGGGTCCGGTCCCGGGCATCGGGGAAAGGGCACACTGATTTGATGGTGGCTGCAGGAGCCTCTGCCTGCTTGTTTGCTTCTTTGTTTTTTGTTTGTTTGTTTTGTTTGTTTGTTTGTTTTTGAGAAGGAGGCTCACCCTGTGCCCCAGGCTGGAGTGCAATGGCGTGATCTCAGCTCACTGCAACCTTCGTTTCCCAGGTTCAAGTAATTCTCCTGCCTCCGCCTCCTGAGTAGCTGGGATTACAGGCACACGCCACCACACCTGGCTAATTTTTTGTATCTTTAGTAGAGATGGGTTTTCACCATGCTGGCCAGAATGGTCTCGAACTCCTGATCTCATGATCCACCCTCCTCAGCCTCCCGAAGTGCTAGGGTTATAGGCATGAGCCACCACGCCCAGGGGCTTATCTGTTTTTTAACCCAAAAAAATGCCCTTTTCTCCCAGTGAAAACCTCAAGTCGTTGTACAGAGCCAGGAAAATTGGCCCATCCACTTCACGCCCTAGCAGAAGGCTCTGAATCTCCCTGGAAAATGAGTACCCAGGGGGGGCAGACCCCCATCCCACCATCCCTCAGTCCAACCTCTGGCCTCGCCTGGCAGTGAGGAGACAGGTGGGGGTCAAGCACCTACTGATCACACCAGGAACTTTCTGCTTTGGTCACAACCAGAATGACTCAGCCCTGGCCTTACCTGGGCCCGGGCTAGCCTGGAACCCGGGAGCCTGCAGTGGCCTTCTAAGATGGGGGCCCGCCGTTAGCATCGGACCCCCCAAGTGCAGACTCCCGTCTGTTTTGAAACCCTGACTGGCTGCTCACTCCCACCCACTGCTGAGCCTCTCTCTCCCCTCCCCCTATTTTACTTTCACTCGGAACCATCCCTAAAGGACTACAGTCAGTGGCTCTGCAGAAAGTCACAGAGCAGAGGGCGCCAGGCCAATGTTCAGGTCGCATTCACTCACTTCGTCATTGATTCTGCACGCCTGCCTTCATTCAATCAACCAGCATTCATCCAGCGCCTTCCAAGCCAGCGCTTGCCCAGTGCTAAGACTCCGGAGGTGAGCAGGCGGCGCGTCGCTGCTCAGAGGAGCCACAGCGGCGTGGGGGAGTCAGAGAGTCGACCTGAAGTCAAGAGCTCCGTGGCAAATCAGAGGTGCCTGACGGCCAGCAGCCAGCGCTGTTCAGCACACGCCCTGCTTCACTGTCATGCTTGCTTTGTTTTTATTCTAAATCCACGGGCGGATCGTATTCAGCGGAGTTTCCACATAAAGACTCAGATGTCCTGGGCCTTCAGGAGGTCCAAGAACATCCGGTCCACTTTCCCACACGGCAGCCCTGGCCTGAGACTGGCTGTCGCTTCAGGTTAGGAATGTTCTCATTCCCCATAGTCGCCACCACGGCCCCGTGTCCCCAACCCTGAGGCCCCATATGAGTGGCCACAAGTTGCCCTACTGCCGCCGTTGATGTTCTCACGCCCTGCCGGCTTCACCTCAAGTCTGGTTCTTGCAAGGCTGGGTCGGAGACCTTTGGTCCAGGGTGAAAGTGCTTTGACAGAGGCAGCAGAGGGCGCTGTGGGAGCACACAGGAAGGGCACCTGCGGCACCCGGGACTGCAGAACAGGCTTCGTGGGCACACGCTGGCTGGGCTTCCTCCATGAGCCTAAACAATGGAAGGCGGACTTGGAGAGGGAATGTACCTCACGCATTCCTGAGCTGCGTGTGCACCGTTTATTCATTCCTCGGTGACTCATGCATCGCAGCACTCATCCGTTTACTTATTAACTACTTGCTGGGTGCTTGGCACTGTGCCAGGCCCTGTCCTTAGCCACCAAGAGTTTAAAGTGTGATTTGGAAGACAGGATGTAGGATTATGTCTCCCCTGTGTATTGCGACTCATTCATCAAGTTCTCCCGGCGTCTAGCGTTAGTATCTGCCACTCAGTAGCAGCTCAACAAATACTCGGACAAATGAATGAAAAGATTATTAGTAACAAATACCTCTTATTTACTGACCTCTTCCCAACTTTCCACGTATGGTCGCAATCCTCAAGATAGGTCCCATTATCATCCTATTTTATTGATAAGAAAAGTAGGGCACAGAGAAGTTAAGTAAATCGCCTAAGGTCACACAGCCAGTCTGAACGCCATGTACGTCTCAGCAGTGCAAGGCAGGCCACACTCAGGGCCAATGCTTAGCACACACAAAGCCTGCATCAGGCTATCAGAGGACAAAGCAGTCAGGAGGGGCCGGGGCAATGAAGGAAGGCTCCACAGAGACAGAGCAAAAGGACCAGTGGAGGCAGAAGAAGAGAACAGCTTTTCCTTGGGGAGGGCAGCAAGCAAGAGGGAGGCCCAGGGCGGGTCCTCCATACTGCCTTCCAGGGGTGAGGGGAAAGGATGCCCGCAAGGACATCAGCAAGGATCATTCAGCAAATCCAAGGGTGTCCCTGGTGCCAAGCCCTGGGCTGTGTGCCTAGGAGAACACGAACATGAATGAGAACCTACCTTGGAGGATCTACAGCCAGTTGTTGGACAGAGGCAAAATATGTAAACAACTTTACTCCAGGAAAGCAAGTGTTGAGAGCCAGACGTGGTAAGAGAATCATTGTCAGGAAAACAGAGACTGTTTGCAAATGGGAAGCACAGAGCAATCTCCTTGGAAGAGAGCATGTTGGAACTGAGCCGTGGGGGTGGGCAGAATGTCACTGCGGAGTGGCGGAAGGGCACTCCTGTGGTGGCAAGGTGGGAGGTGGGAGGTGGGCCCTGCGTGCCCACAGTGGGCAGGGAAGTAGTGAAGGGGAAGCTGGCCAGACAGGCAGGGCCATTCCCAGAGGGCTCTGCATGCAGGGCTAAGCCATAGGCAATGGGAGGCCACTGGGGGTTTGCAGCAGGGGAAGGACATGTCTTGCCCACCAAGAGGCCACGGAAAAACAGTTGTCTCCCAAGTTATAAGTTCCTGAAACCCTTGCTAGCAGCAAGGATTTAGGAAAATGATGCTGAGAGATGCTAGAAACATTCTCCCTGAGGCTCTCTCACTCAGACTGCAAAAGGGAGGTGTCATCAAAATCACCCTTAACCAGGAACCAGAATAGCTGGGTCCAGGTCCTGCCAAGTCAGCAACCAGCTATGTGACCTTGCTCAGGTCCATCTCTGGGTGTCAGTTTTCTCGTCTACCATGCGAGAGAGTTGCCCACCTCTGAGAACCCTTCCAATCCCAACTCCCACCCTATGAATCTAAGAATCCCACACCAACCCCTCACCCTCCTAAGTACCACAGAGCCAGGCAAGCATGGGGGAGGGCTCGGGTCATCCTTGTTACACTAAAAGGAAGGGGCAGACTGCCCACGGTGGGTGGCCAAGAGGGTCAGGCCTCCATAGGTCCTCAGCCCACTGCAACCTCAAGGGGAACGGGGTGCTGAGGGGTGCCAGAGAAGCAGCAGGCTCACTCAGGGAGGACAGGGGATTAGGATAGAAGGGAAATGAACTAAACAACCAGCTTCCTCCAAAACCAGTTCCAGGCCAGGGCTGGGAATTTCACAAAAAGGCAAAAGGCTCTCTGTGAACACTTCCTGCTCCGCCCCAGCCCCCTTCCTGGCAGCGTTGCCACACGGCTTACCTGTGAGGCAATCTTCCGGAGACAGGGCCAGAGGGCCAAGCATCCCGGCCAGGAGCTGCTATAAATGCGGAGCCCGCACAGCTCTGGCAAACGCTCTGTGTGGCTCCTCGGCTTTGGTAAGTGAGCTGCCAGCTTCCCCAGGCAGGAGCCTGCCTGCCAATTCCTTCTTTCCTTCCCTGACCCAACTTCCTTCCAAATCCTCCTCCTGGAAGCCCTCCTTGGTTGGCCCTGCCCACTTTAAAGCTTCTTTCACATTTTCTTAGGTTGTGTTCCGCTGGGGCCTCCTGCCCTCAAATGCTTTGCTTTTTGGCACTCTCTAGATGTTCTAAAAAGCATTTTGTCCGTGTGTGTAACAAGCGATCTCCCAGTTAAGTTGCAGTCTGTGCTTTCTTTTTATTTCGCGCTTCCCCCACCGTTTCTGTGAGTGCTTAGTAGGAAGTGCCAAAGAAGCTTGACAGCCTTTTCTCCTAAGCGCCCCAACTCTTGGCTTCTCCATTATGCAGGCAGAGTGCGAGACGGCTTTCGAAATGTCTCAGCTGGAATGCAGCATAGATACCATCATCGACACCTTCCACCACTACTCTGTGAGGCTGGGGCACCCAGACACCCTGAACCAGAGGGAATTCAAACAGCTGGTGCAAAAAGAGCTGCCAAACTTTCTCAAGGTAGGGCTGGACTCTGGCAGGTCTGAGCCAGCCTCACGGCAGTTTGGGTTGAGAAGGGAAAATGGGGGTGTGGTCTACAGCAATCAAGGGGAAGATCTGAGCTCCTTGAACTCAGCCCCCAGACTTAGCAGGTGTCCTATTACACAGGACGACAGGGTCAAGAAACCGCTCAGTTGAACACCTGCTGTGTCGGGTCCTGTGCTGGGCAGAGGGGTGTAGTGATGAATGGGGAGCCCACTATTCCGGTGGAGGGGACACACAATAAGCTTGTTGACCCGTAAAGAGCACAGATAAAGCCAAATGCCAATCAGTGTCTGGAAGAAAATGGGATAGAGTGCTGTGGGCAATGTGGGCAATGTGGGCTGGGCGGGAGGGAGGTGACCTGTTAGGGTCCGTGAGAAAGGTGACATTTGAGCTGAGCCCTTAATGTCGGCAAGGGGAACCCCTTAGGATGACCCTTGGCACAAAGCTGAGGAGACCCTAAGCCTCAGGCGGGAACTTGGGACGGAAGACTTGGAAGGCTTTTCTAGTCCTGAGGGTCTGCGGTGGAAAGCGAACGTCAACAGCACGTGGCGGGCACTCAGGGAACTGGGAGGTTTTTCCCCTGTTCCAAAAACGATGAGGCAGTTCTAAGAAAAAGGCTGAGCACTTCCAACAGGCTTCTTGTTTCCAAATTTGGGGAAGGTGGGGAAGCAGAGGCCTGCATTAAAAAGGGGTGGGACACATGGGTCTCAGTCTCAGTTCCATTCCCTGAGCCAGACATCCTGGCGTAGGTCCCCAGCCCTCCCAGGGCCCCTCCCTCCACCTTGGTAAGGTGGAGAATTGCACCTTAAGTATTAGGAGGTATTAGGGACTCTGACAGTTCTCCACAGGTGGGGGCCTCGGGCAGGCAGGATGCTGGGTGGGGTAGACATGAGAGTGCCCAGTGGAGAGGCTGCATGGCCACGCTCCCCTCCATGTGACCCCCTATGCCCGCTCCACCCCACGCCTGACTTCCCCCTCCAGAGCAAAGTGATGCTGTGGGAAAGGAAGCAGAGCCCCGTGGAAGGGCTGCGCAGGAGAGTGCTCGCATTGGCTGGCTGCCCCGCAGGCCCTGGGAGGAGACTTAGTGAGGTGACCCAGCCAGAGGGTGGCAGAGCTGGAACCAGCCCGTGCTCTCTTGTGCCCCGCCTGGGTCTTCCACCTCCCCTGATGTCTATACTTTATCACAGCCTTGAAGGTCAACGGAGCACATACTCTGCTCTCTCTCCCTCCATCTCCCCTGCCCACACCTAGTTTTTCTAGGTGATTCTCCCCACTGTGTTGCTTGAAATGAGTTTCACTAATTGGTAACCTCCAGAGGGAAGGGAAGGAAGGGCAGGGGAGGGATGGGAGTGGAACCAGCCTCTTAAGTCAGATCTGAATTTGCATGCCCTGAGCAGTCAAGCTGGGAAAACGAATGGCCCTCTCTAGGACCGGTTTCAAGTCTTCCTCCAGGAAGCTATCACTCCTAGCTGTTAAAGTTGTTATGAGGACCAAATGAGGTGACATTTCCAGGCTTACTCATGCCATGACCCGGGCAAGGCCCTGGAACTCAGCTTCCTCTTCTATAAATAGAAAACCAGGCTGGGTACGGTGGCTCACGCCTGTAATCCCAGCACTTTGGGAGGCCGAGGCGGGTGGATCACGAGGTCAGGAGATCAAGACCATCCCGGTCATCATGATGAAACCCCATCTCTACTAAAAGTACAAAAACTCGCTGGGCATGGTGGCACGTGCCTGTAATCCCAGCTACTTGGAGGCTGAGGCAGGAGAATTGCCTGAACCCAGGAGGCGGAGCTTGCGGTGAGCCGAGATCGCGCCATTGCACTCCAGCCTGGGCAACAAGAGTGAAACTCCGTCTAAAAAAAGAAAAGAAAACCAGCACCCAAGTCGCAGGCCCAGGCAGGGAATAAACTGAAGGGTGTTTGGTGTGTGCTCAGCGTCCGCTCCGTTGTGGGCACTCAGCCCATGGTCACTCTTTTTTTTTTTTTTTTTTTTTTTTTTTTTTTTTTTTTTTTGAGACGGAGTTTCGCTCTTGTTGCCCAGGCTGGAGTGCAATGGCGCGATCTCGGCTCACCGCAACCTCCGCCTCCCGGGTTCAGGCAATTCTCCTGCCTCAGCCTCCTGAGTAGCTGGGATTACAGGCACATGCCACCATGCCCAGCTAATTTTTAGTATTTTTTTAGTAGAGACGGGGTTTCACCACGTTGACCAGGATGGTCTCGATCTCTTGACCTCGTGATCCACCCGCCTCGGCCTCCCAAAGTGCTGGGATTACAGGCTTGAGCCACCGCGCCCGGCCTTGTCACTCTTAATTTTTGAATTGAGCCCGAGGGCGAGGCTCCCCTGTATATTTGCCAGCTGGTCATTTGCTGTGCTCCGGGTCCCCCCACCCCCGGCCACACCCAGCCCTCACGGCCTTCTCTCCCCACCCACAGAAGGAGAAGAGGAATGAGCAGGACATAAACCACATCCTGGAGGACCTGGACTCAAACGCAGACAAGCAGCTGACCTTCGAGGAGTTCATCGTGCTCATGGGAAGACTGACCTGGGCCTCCCACGAGCATATGCACAAGGATGACCACGGCCCCGGCCACAGCCATGGGCCAGGCCTCGGCGGGGTACAAGGCCAAGGCCACTGCCCAGGCCAAGGCCACGGCCACGGCCACGGCCACGGCCACGGCCACGGCCACTAACCAGGAGGCCAGGCCACCCTGCCACTGCCCAACCTGGGCCCTGGGGCCTGTTATGCCAAACTGTCTTGGCTGTGAGGCGAGGGGCTAAGGGCAAATAAAGTCTTCCTCCAAGTCAGTGCTCTGCGTGCTTCTTCCGTGTCCCCTCCAACCCTTCCTTCCTAGGGCTCTGGGCATTCAGTGGTCCTGTCCTTATCTGTGGCTCAGCCCCCTCGTTCAGTAAAACAAAATGAGAAGCAGCAAAACGTGGGTCTGTGCTGAGCCCAGTGGACTCACCTCCCTGAGCATATCCTCACCTCTGACTTCAGGCCCCACTGCTCAGATCCCAGGCACCCTGCCCCATCTCAGACACCCCATCCAGCCGGTCAAATGGCCCTTGTCACTGTACACTGTAGGACGCAAAAGGGCATATCCCTACCCCTTGATGTGCCGGTTACCTCCCCAGCCAGCCAACCCTGTCTTCATCCATTGCAGTCTACACAGCCCTCTCTCTCCTAATAGAATCCTGTTCTTCTCAAGGTAGTCCCGAAATGGACCTAGACAGTGCCACGTCGGGGGAAGAATGCTGGCACTCAGGTAGTGGGAACAAGGACAGCTCTGCTGTGTTTACCCTCAGACTCTTCCTGGATCCAAGAGAGCAACTGTGTCTCTCTTAACAGAGCTGCCATCCTCACTGACCGGGTGCCCACACAAGTGGGAATCTGGGAGCTTAGCCCTGTGCCCACCCTGGTCTCAACAGGACAACAGGATGAAGAAACGAGCTTCAATCCTGGCTCTGCAGCTAAAAGACTCAGTGCCTGCTTTGGGTCCGGAGAGCCTGGGGATCTCAAGACTCTGATCTGAAGCTTCGATGGCCAGCTGTCCTTTCTGGGGGGTAGCTGAGAGCTGGATCCAGCATAGGTATCCACTTCTCTCTGCGAATCTTACTACCAGGACTGGCCCTAGCTGTCCAGGGCTGCTGCTGCTGCTCTGCGTCACGCTGCCCCAGACCAAGCATTCACTTCAGGGACTCCTCTGCCATCTGCCTGTGCTTTGGCTCTAAAGTCCCTTTCCTAGGTTATAGCCAGTGGGAGTGGGCCTTCCAAAAACCAGGGTCCAGATCAAGGTCCTCTGACCCCTGTTCCTCGGCAGAAAGAAGATTCGCAGAATTAGGGTCTGCGGGAGCTGGAAAATGACCGGCAGTCATCTACTCTCCCTTTTCATAAGTGAAAAGAACCAAGGTGTAACATGGAGAGAGACTAATCCAAAGTCACACAAGTGACAGAGTTGTTTGAAATGGTTCGGTAAGAAAAGTAGCTTGAGTCACATCTGCTCCGCAGGCCGCACCTCCCCAGCTCCTTCCCCAGGGCAGAGCAGGAAGATACGGAGTTGCCAGGGGTGGATTTCAGCCCTCCCCTCACAGCCTGGCTATGGTTGTGCCCCCAACCTGCCTGTTGCAGATTCCTGCTCTAAGACCCTCGGGGCTCTGCTCTGGGTGCAGGCTTTTAAGGGCTCCCAGTCAAGGGTATGAGGATGTTTCCAAGAACTGTCGCTGGCTGAGGGCTTAGGCATCAGAGTCTAGAAGCTCTCACCAGTCCCTTCTGTGTCTGACTTGAGGAACTGACAGCTGGGAACACTCATCTTCTGACAGCCTTCTGCTCCCATGCTCACATCCAGGGAGGAGTCACTGTCTTCATCCCCTTCTGAACACAACTTGGTACTGGGGTGAGAGAAGCATCCTGGGGACTGGAGGGCCTGAGATCAGATGCTTCCAGTAGGGGGGTAAGTGCTCCCCCTAGGCCCTCTGTCCACCATTACTTATCACAATGTGCCTACATATGTTTATGACTCTGCCTATCCCTCTAAACTGATAACCTCAAGAGAGAAATGTCCATGGAATCTGTCTTTTGTCTGCTTTATTCCCAGCACCTAGAGTAGTGGCTGCACATAGAAGGTTCTCAATAAATATTGCCTGTATAATGTTCTAAAATTTCTCGCGTGTTCCATGCCCTCTTCTCAAGGGACGGTATCAGGAAAAAAAAAAAAAAAAAAAGGCAAGAGGAAATCAAAACTTGCAGATGGAAGGCTTCTGCATTAGCATTATAGAATCTCAAACCTGAAGGTAAGGAGAAGCAAGTTGAGGGAATCTGAGGGCACCTCCACCCCTCTGTTTAATCAGACCAATTCGATGTGAAGAAAGATACTTGTCTTGAAAAAAACATGAAAACTATTGATTTAATCCAATCTGTCCTACCCGCACCCTAGAGTGATTCTCACCAACATCCCTGCCAAGTGGTTGAACCAACCTTGCCTGAATTCCTCCAGGAAAGGAGAGTGTCCTCCTTTGGGAGTGACACTTGGAATGTCCCTCATTACAATGAGACAAAATCCATTTCCTCATGCCCACCCAGCATTAGTCCTATTTTTCCTCCTTTGAGGACACAGAATAAATCTAACCCCTTATCGTCTGTCCTCCCATCCATGTGTCCATTCTGCCACTTCTTCAAAACACCCTACCTGAATTACATCCATGCTTTCTTCAGCCTCTTCACCTTTGCACCAGAAATACTGTGCTCCATCCTGGTGTTTCTTATAAGTCTTAGGGTCCATCAAGCCTCAGAGCCAGTGCTACTGCCTCCTCACCATCCACCCTTCTCAAGAATATAGGGGCTTCCTCCTCCAGGCCCACAGAACTCTCTGATAATTCCACCATTGCACTTCAAATACTGAGTTGTAACCTCTCATTTGCCAAGACTATGAGCCCCCGAAAGCAGGGACTATGGCTGATTTTCCCCACATTCCAGATCCCAGCATGGACCAAGATCTCAGTGAGCATTTGTGGATGAACAAGTGAAGATAGGATGCTTCTAGAGCAGAACTGGGTGCTTTGCTTGAATGTGGGTGTGAGGTGGGAGTGGCCCTCAGGAACTGGGGTTGGGGAATGCCAGCTGTCGGGAGACCTGAGGCTGGCAGATAGTGGAGCAGCTGAGCAGCAGGATGATTTGAGACCTCCTCAGGTACCGAGGGTTCTTCCATTTGCCTTGTCACCAATAATTCAGTCTGCATGTAGGTGATTGTTTCAGACCCTGGGGGAAAGTCTGACAGCAAGCTACTTTTACCCTGTGAAATTTTCTTTAAACATAGTTGAACAGAGCTCATCAAGGTAACTTAACCTCTTCCTTCACATTAGCCTATTTCATTTCCCAAAAAAAAAAAAAATCTGGTTTGGTTGAGTAGAGTGGAGTGGGCTGCTTTGCTCAGACAGAGAGAGCAAGCAGGCTGGGGGCGGTGGCTCACACCTGTAATCCCAAGACTTTGAGAGGCGAAGGTGGATGGATCGTGAGGTCAGGGGATGGAGACCATCTTGGTCAACATGGTGAAACTCCGTCTTTACTAAAAACACAAAAATTAGCTGGGCATGGTGGTACGTGCCTGTAATCCCAGCTACTCAGGAGGCTGAGGCAGAAGAATCACTTGAACCAGGGAGTTGGAGGTTGCAGTGAGCCAAGATTGTACCACTGCACTCCAGCCTGGAAACAGAGAGAGACTCCGTCTCAAAAAAGAAGAAAAGAGAGAGAGAGAGCAAGAATGTCCATGTCAAGGTTAAGATTCCCAATCCAAGTGAGAATCATTAGCTATTCTTGTGATTAATGAGTCTTTTGGGGAAACATGACCTTTGAGGACTTTCCCAGCATTGTGGTGACTAAAGAACCAGAGACAACCTGTCATCAGATTGTCAACAATTGCTGCAGCAATGAGTGTCCCTCCAATCTGGGGTTAGCAGTAGAACCTGAACTGCTGGATGCCTTTCTGGGAGGGATGAGGAAGGATCAGTAGTGGTCTGAGTTGCTGAACTCTGCCCAGATACTTGACAGTGCTCTGACTGTGGTCCAGGGCCTGGGCGGTGGTGGCGTGGCTCCAGAACTTGGGGGAGAAGTGAATTCACTTGTCCATTCACTTGTGTGTCCCCTCACTCACTCAACAGACATTAACTGGAGACTTCCTGTGTGTCAGTCATGATATCATGCTCTAAGGGGCCTTCATGATAAATAAGGCTTGTCTATGCTGTCAAGGAGCTCTCAGGCGTGCGGGGAGACAAGACAGCTCCTCCAGTGATTCTGATGTGAGAAATGAGAGGCCAGGAAGGTGCAAAGTTGGCTGGGACTTTGAGGTGGGAAGAATGCCCTTCCCTGGAGCCATCTCCATGGAGGGATGAGTGTCAGTGTGACATCAAGTCTGGCACCTACAGTCATCCCAGGATAAACGTGAAGGTGCTTCAGGAGGCCACATGTGCAAAGGCCCGATATGGGCAGGTCTGGGGTTTAAGTGGAAATGAGGAGCACTGGGGGTGCGACGGGGACAGGTGAGAGACGCAGCAGAGAACGGGGTAGGTACCAGGCCAAGGAGCTCACACTCCGTCCAGCAGAATGGGGGCAGAGCCCTGAAGGCTTCAGGGAGGGCAACGATGTTATCACATTTGCATTTCAGAGAAGTTTCTCTATCTGTGTTTTATGGGATGGATTTGGGATAGGAGTGAGACCCCAGGCACACGGCCTGTGGGGAGTCTGCCACAATGGCACACGTGAGCACTTAGGAGAGCCCAAGGGTGCTTCTCAGAAACAGTCAAGTTAGTCAGAGCCTCAAACTCCCCCAAGCTTCACCTTAATTAGGCAAGGCGTGACTGCAACATGATAAATAACATCATTTCATGCTGTTTGCCAAGACCCTTCCAGGAAGGAAGATCTCAGCTTTCACCAGCCCAGTGAGGCAAGCTTACACAACCCTGATGCAGCCCTGCTCTGAAGCAAGCTCATAATCCAATCCCAACACGCTGCCCCCTTCCAGCAGTTGCTTAAAATGTATATTTTAGAAAGCCTCGCATCCTGGATTTTGACACTCCGATTACCAAAGTGACAGCAGGATTGAAACAACTGGTTACTCAAGTCCTGTTGCCTCTTGGGGCTCTGGCCTGTTGCTTTTTCTCTCCCAAGACGACAATCAGTCCTGCATGATTGGACCCCCACTCCCTGTGTTCAGAGAGCCGCCCCCAGACACAGGAGACAGGGAAGGGGAGCCCCCGTGGGAGCGCCAGCTGGCCTCCTTCCTGAGTGTCCACGGAATGCAGAGACCCAACTGAAC